TACGGATATGCTCGTACCCCTTCCAATCTGCGCCCCATCCCGAGGGACGAGGGTAGGGTGAGCAAGGATTACTCACCTCCGTCACTGGTGTTGTGCAATGCCAGGTCTTTGGCAACAAAACCGCCACCCTGCGAGATTTCTTCACCCCGCAGGGGGTCGACCTGGCTTGTGTGATGGAGACCTGGGTGCGCGAAGGGGAAACTGTTACCTTACGAGAGATGGCGCCCCCGGGTTTCTCCGTCCTCCACCAGTCGCAGACTGTGGGCCGGGGGGGAGGGGTGGCATTATTAATCCGGGAAGATTGTCCTTTCAGGGCTCTACCATCGCCATCGATCCCCGGCATTGAATGTGTTGGCCTAGTGTGGGGCTCCGAGGTGAGCTTGGCTGTCTGGCTGGTGTACCGGCCACCTAGCGCACCAGCAGCCACCCTGTCAGACCTACTGGAGGCGGTGGCCAGCTGGGCCTTGGAGTTCCCTAACAATCTATTGGTATTGGGGGACTTCAACATCCATGCTGATGCCACTCCCTCCTCACAGGCTCTGGACCTGGTGTCTTCCATGGCAACACTAGGGCTCTCCCAGTTTGTTTCGGGCCCCACACATCAAGCAGGCCACACGCTGGATTTGATCTTTGGCGTCGGTATAGATGTGATCATGTCTCCTTCGATGAAGGTGCCATGGTCTGATCACTACGCTCTGAAAGCCAGGATTGATTTTCCACCCCCACCCTGCTTAGGTGGTGAGCCAATTTGGGCTCGCCCGCAGAGGCTGGTGGACCCTGATAGATTCTGTCAGGCCTTGCGGGACCTTGCTCCCCCTGGCGACTCATTGACTGAGCTTGTTGAGGGCTGGAATATCCAGCTCCTAGCAGCCATCGATGAGATCGCACCTAGGCGCCCTCTGCAACCCCACAGAAACCGGGCTCCCTGGTTTACCGAGGAGCTTCGGAAAATGAAGTGGGACCTCAGACGGCTAGAGCGAGTATGGCGGGGTGCCAGTGATGGAGCCTCAAGAACATCTTATAGGGTTTTTATGAAAACCTACAAGATGGCAGTGAAGGCCGCTAAGAAGTCCTACTTTTCGGCCTCCATTGCCTCCGCTAGCTCTTGCCCGGCGCAATTATTTAGTATAATTAGGTCTTTAACGTTCATTGAAGGACAGCCAAATTTAAATAACAATTTGACACACAGCTGTGAGGCATTTGCAAGCTTTTTTGCGGAGAAGGTCCTGTTGCTCCGCCATGACCTCCCTGCCAATTTGGATACAATAAAGGAACTGGAGGCCCCTCGACTGTCCTCGGGTCCAGTATTGGACCACTTTGACCGGATATCCCCAGCCGATGTGGACAGACTCCTCCGAGCTGGAAGGCCCACCACCTGTCCTCTTGACCCGTGCCCGTCTTGGCTGATTAGAGCGTGTCCAGACGAGGTGCGGGCCCCCCTGGGTGATATCATCAATTTGTCCCTTGGCACCGGGATATTCCCAGGGGAACTGAAGGAGGCAGTGGTGCGCCCGCTCTTAAAGAAAACATCATTAGATCCCTTAGATCTTTCCAATTACCGCCCGGTTTCGAATCTTCCATTCCTGGGTAAGGTGATTGAGAGAGCGGTTGCTGAACAGCTTGGTAGGTTTCTGGATGAAACATCGGCTCTCGATCCATTCCAGTCCGGCTTCCGCGCTGGTCATGGGACCGAGACGGCTCTGGTCGCCCTAATAGATGATCTCCGCAGGCAGCTGGATCGAGGCGGGTCGGGGCTGCTGATTCTTCTAGACCTCTCAGCAGCCTTCGACATGGTCGATCACGAACTCCTGGACCACCGCCTTGCCGACGTGGGGATCCAGGGCACAGTCCTTCAATGGCTGCGCTCGTTTCTCTCTGGTCGGGGACAGAGGGTGGCGCTTGGGGGGGAATTGTCATCGCGCCACTCCTTGGTGTGTGGAGTGCCTCAGGGTGCGATTCTCTCCCGAAGCTTTTAACATCTTTATGCGCCCCCTCGCCCAGCTTGTCCGGAGTTTTGGGCTGGGTTGCCACCAGTATGCCGATGACACCCAACTCTATCTGTTGATGGATGGCCATCCTGACTCGGCCCCAGACACACTGACCAGATGTCTGGAAGCTGTGGCTGGATGGTTACATGGGAGCCGGTTGAAGTTGAATCCTTCGAAGACAGAGGTCCTCTGGCTGGGACGGGGCGATATGGGATTGAGGGGGCAACTCCCATCTCTTGCGGGGGTGCAATTGGTGCCAGCATCGTCCGTTAAGAGTTTGGGTGTAATCTTCGATACCTCCCTCTCTATGGAGGCGCAGATTACAGCTATAACAAAGGCGGCATTTTTTCATCTCCGCCAAGCTAAGCAGTTGGCTCCTTATCTCTCTCGCCCTGACCTAGCCACTGTGATCCACGTGACGGTCACCTCCAGACTGGATTATTGTAACTCGCTCTACGTGGGGCTGCCCTTGAGACTGACCCAGAAACTCCAGCAGGTGCAGAATGCCGCGGCGAGACTCCTTATGGGGTCTTCGCTGCGAGATCACATTCATCTGGTACTATACCAGCTGCACTGGCTCTTGGTGGAGTACAGGATCAGGTTTAAGGTGCTGGTTTTAACCTTTAAAGCCTTCTTCCTGGATAGCTCAGTTGGCTAGAGCATGGTTCTGATTATGCCAAGGTTGCAGGTTTGATCCCCGTAAGGGGCAGCTGCATTTCCCTGCATTGCAGGGGGGTTGGACTAGATGATCCCCTGGGTCCCTTCCAATTCTACAATTCTATGATTCTAAGCCCTATACGGCCTAGGACCCTCGTACCTACGGGACCGCCTCTCCTGGTATGTCCCACAGAAGAACTTACGGTCTGCAAATAAAAACATCCTGAAGATCCCAGGCCACAGAGAGGTTAGGCTGGCCTCAACTAGAGCCAGGGCTTTCTCGGCCGCGGCTCCAATCTGGTGGAACGTTCTGTCACAAGAGACTAGGGCCCTGCGGGACCTGACATCTTTCCGCAGGGCCTGTAAGACAGAGCTGTTCCACCAGGCCTTTGGTCAGGGCGCAGCCTGACCCCCTCCTCTGGCAATCTGCACAGAATTTTGCTTAATGGTTGCCATCAATTTGATTTTAATTAATTTTTATAATGAAAGGTTTTTAGAATGTTGGATTATTTTGATTGTTGTTAACCGCCCTGAGCCCAGCTTCGGCTGGGGAGGGCGGGGTATAAATAAAATTTATTATTATTTATTATTTATTATTATATTTCTCCCTTTAAGTAGCATTGTGAAATGCAGCGGGCTGCACACACACACCCCATACACTGTGTGTGTGGTTGTGGGCAAGGACAATCTGTTGCTGTCCTGCCGTACCCACCCACCCACTCACTTTGAGGAGATCAGGGAAGCCTGCATTGGCGGGAGGAGCGACTCTATTTCTGCCCCGGCTCAGTTTCCCGACCACCGCCCTCCTCTCCTCTCCATCGGTGGGTTGAATGCCTTCTCCTTTTTGCTTTCCTCTGTCCCACTTTCTCTCTCTCTTTTTATCCAGTAAAGGAAGGGGTAGGTTCCCCCCACCCCCAGCTCTTGCCTCTCCTCCTTCCCTGTAGTTAAATCTTGTGGAATTCTCAAGTTCATGTCAACAACTAACAACTCTGGGGAACCTTTCCTAAAAAAGGTCAACAACTTTGGGGGCCCCCCTTAAAAAGGTCGACAACTTTGGGAAACCGGGGTGGTGGTGGCACCGAAGAGATCTTTGCACCATGGTGCAGGATATGCTTAAGACGGCCCTGGACCCAACAAGGTCAAGGTTTGTATGGTCAAGGTTCGATAGAACAGTCCCAGGAAATTTAGTCATGCCCAGTATGATGCTGCCCCTGCAAAAAAATAAATAAATAAAAAATCCTGTCTAAAGGGAAGCTTAAGTTACCCAGTGCGATCCTAAAACATCCCACTTCAGAACGAAGTCCCATTTAGCTCAATGGAACTTACTTCCAAGTGACTGATTGCAGCCTTCAATTGATATTCTTTCCTGAAGCTCCCATAATGAAACACTGCAGGGGCCCTATGTAGAAAGCACTTCTGCAAAGAAATGCCGGCTCTCCCATTAGGTAAGGTGAGTCCGTTGACTCAGGCACTGGACTGGGAGAGGGGGCAGGTTGGTGGCCCATCCACTATTGCTGCCACCCACCCAAGTGCCAGCTGCAGCTTGCTTGTCACTGCTGTGGCATGGTCTCTATTAAAACCTTTTAAAAATTAGTAATGTTATGTTTGATTGGGAGAGGGTTCCCAGACAAAAATCTATGGCTATGTAAAGATATGCACACACAAATATATATATCAGATCTGACCTCAGTGACATCTGCCTTAAATTGCAGCTTGTTAGGACTACTGTGACATGTTCTGTGTGGAATTGCCTTTGATGAGCATTCAGAAGCGTCTGCTGGTTCAGAATGTGGCAGCCAGCTTGTTAACTTTGGGGTGGCTATAGGAAGAATGCAAGTCCCATGTTACAACAGCTTCAGTCCATTTCTGGGCAGTTCTGGTTGCGATCTACAAAGCCTGATGACATAACTTGGCCCCAGATTATCTGAAAGGCTCTGTTCTCCCGTATGAACCTTGGTTGGGTTTGAAGATCTTTGGGAGAGACCTTTCTTTCAGTACTGTCAACATCTGATGAACGTTTGCTAGGAACTCATAAAGGGCCTTCCCAGTGGTTCCTCTCAGGCTTGGGAACTCCTTGACAAAGGAAGCACATTTAGACCAGTCTATGACAAAACAGCCACATGTCCTACTTTGCAGCTCCATTTGAAGGGCTATCAGAGGACAGTTCTTTGTTTCAGTAATTGAGAACATGTAGCCCTTCAGATGTTGTTGAACTCCAAGCCCCATCAGCCAAGCAAGCAAGGTCAATGGTCAGCGATTAGGCAACTGTAGTCCAAAAGGCAACAGGTTCCAGTTCTCTGTTTGAGGGAGTCCTCTACTGGATAGCCTATCTGGTTTAAAAACAACAAACATTGAGCCTGTGGTGCAATGGATCAGTACATCTGGCTGTACATCTGGCCAGAAGGTTGGTGGTTCGAGCCCACCCAGGGACAGCTGTGGGCAGGATTCCTGCATTGCAGGGGACTGGATTAGATGACCCTTGGGATTCCTTCTGATTCTACAATTACAGTGGTACCTCAGGTTAAGAACTTAATTTGTTCTGGAGGTCCGTTCTTAACCTGAAACAGTTCTTAACCTGAGGTACCACTTTAGCTAATGGGGCCTCCCACTGCTGCCGTGCTGCCGCTGCACAATTTCTGTTCTCATCCTGAAGCAAAGTTCTTAACCCTAGGTACTATTTCTGGGTTAGCGGAGTCCGTAACCTGAAGCGTCTGTAACCTGAAGCGTCTGTAACCCAAGTTACCACTGTATATGAACATCTATGAACCATAAGAAGGGACAGTAGAGGCCTTAAAGCTGCTTATCTTAGCTCCTGGAGAGCAGGCTGAGCAAGCAAACAGGTGACCTTGTCACAGTCTGCCCCACTACAATAAGATGCATTGTATTTCTATTTAAATAAATACAGCTCTACATATACAATAGCACATCCCAGTTGTATGCAAAGCCCTATCCTCTTTAGTCCTCTTTTTGGGGTGTTGCATAAGTGCATAACCTTAGACACATTGTACCTCTTTGAGGGAAAACACCTGAGTACTGGCTTATCTACAAAGTACACCATATGAAAGAGAAGGCTTCCCCAAGTTCCATCTTTCTGCGAGGCTGCAGTCTAGGCAGGACCCAGAACTGAATTTTCACTGTTATGACACTTCAGTGTTGAAACTCCCTCCATAAATGGGGCCTGCCTAATTCTTTCAGACATCTGGTAAAAACATTTTTATTATTTGGCATTTGGGATACATGACCTTTTACTGCCCTTAGCAGTTATAAATGTAGCATTATATTCATCTGTATTTTTAAATTTACCTTTTCTTAAAATTGTGAGCCATCTTTAGCAGCAAGTTGTTTGGAAAAGCAATTAACACATTTTAAGAATAAATGAAGATAGGGGACAACATTGCAGCTGCACAATAAACCTTGTACAGGCATGCCCTGGTGGTTTTCTGCCCAACTCAGATATGTCTCAATTGCATTTTTAATATTCCCTAAGGCATCTGGTTCCCTATCAGACTTCCCACAGGCATATGGCTGGCAACTGCAAAACGATGCTGGACTAGATGGGTCTTCAGCCTGACCTAGCAGGGCATGATCAACCTCTTTGCCTCTAGTTTCAGTGACAATACAGCACTATTCTAGAGGCATGTGGCAGGTGGAATGGGCGATAGACTTGCAACAGTGAAGGTAACTAATTTGCTTATTTATTATTAAGTTTATTGCCACTGCTCACAGCAGAGCGAACAATGAAAGAAAGAAAAGAAAAATGACACATGATTATCAAGATGTCCAATTAAACAGAATCATAACACTATTAAAATAATAGCAGTGCCTAAAAATAAATCATATTTATACATTTGCTTCAGTTGAAGCCCTTAAAAAACATCTCAGCTAGATATGTGCTTCAAGCCTTCAGCACCAAAGAGAGAGCACTCAGTTTCAAAAAAAAATAATGAGTGCTTACATAAAGCAAAACACAAGCAGCAGGTCTGGAAGTGGTAGGTTATCAAGTTGGGATGGGCATTTGAGATGGGATGTTCATAAGCAACAACCAGCTTAGTCTGAGGAGTCAGTCCGGAGGTAGAATCTTTCTAAGACCATAAAGAACCCAATTGACTCCTTCAGTTACCTGATCCTTCCTGAATTAGTAGCTGCAATGCCACCCACTGGGTATATGCATGGTGATGATGATGTAGCACAGTACAGAACAGATAGTAACTTCTTTCCCTAGCAAGCTGCAATGGCCGCCTGTGTCCTGCTACCAAGGTCCCTGGTTTGAAATGCCAATCACCTTCCAAAAAGCCTCCAGAATAGTACAAGAGGCATCAAACTGAGCCAAAGCATCCCTCTTTGACTTCAAGAAGAATGTTGCTCTAAATCAGTGGTTTCCAACCGGGGGCCATATGGCCCCCTGCAGCCCCCCCAGGATATTCCAAGGGGAGCACAGGTCAAAATCGTGTAAATGGGGGGGGGGGCACAGCAGTAGGCTTGGGGGCACAGAGGGAAGTAAGAAGTGAAGCGGGGAATCAGGTAGGTGTGGTGGTGGGGTGGCAATTGGCAGGGCTGGGTGAGGCAGAGCTGCTTGTTGCTGCTGCCAGTGCTGGGCGTGGTGGCAGCCTGGGCCTGACTCTGCAAGGCACAAGGTGCAATCCACCCCAGCGCCTAGTGGATCAGGGCCTTTGGATGTTGTCGAGGGGTGCAGAGCCCGTTGGCAGCATTGATTTGGCTCTGCAAGGTGTGGGTTGAAATCCACCCCAGCGCATAGTCAAGCGGGGTTGTCTGGTGCTGCTGACTTGCATCTAGTAATGCCTACTCAGAAGTAAGTCACACTAGTTCAGTGGGCCTTACTCCCAGGTAAGGATGTGTTTTATCTAGGCAGCCAGGGTTCCTCCAGATGACAAGATCTTTTTGCACCAGGTCAATGAGGACTTCTTGTCTTTTAAAATTCTCCCATATATACAGTACTCCCTGTGCGCCTTTTGAACTGTTTCTGTAGGTTTCCCCCTCTGTGTCAAATAATGAGTCAAATAAGTGTTGTTTCCTTTTTATAATACATGAAAGATGGCTCTCCCTCTGGAGGTTCTGGGCTCTCCTTCCTTGGAGGTTTCTAATGCTTTAGCTGAGTTTCCTACATTGCAGGGGGTTGCACTAGAAAGATGATCCTTTGGGTCCCTTCCAGCTCCATGATTCTATGTTTTTCTGCTTCAACAATATTTCATTCTGTTCCTATCATTTTATGCAATTGTATTTTGTATAAATTATAAACATTATAAATAAAATCTGTTCTATTTACATACAAAACATTTAAATAGCTACCTTTCTACTAGTAGAATGGAGAGGCATGGGCATAGCCAGGATTTTTGTTAGGAGGCAGGCCTTTTTTAGGGGGGCCAGAACCTCAAATATGTATTGATTTTTACTGATTTTTATTTATGGGTGGCAGCTGCCCCCCTGCCCCTCCTTGACTACACCCGGGGGGGGGGGCACAGGAAGGAAACAAGATCGGAAGGGGGCCATGGTTGGCGAAACATTGGGAAACACTGCTCTAAATCACCAGTTCAGCCTTGAAAGCAGAGTGTGCTTTCCAACCCTTTGACCTATTACGGTAAGCCAGGGATGGCAAAAGTGGCCTGGGTGGTGTTGGACCCCAGCCCCCATCAGCCCCAGCCAGCATGACCAATGGTCAGAGATAGTGGCAGAAATACAATAAGTAGGTTCCCTTCCCTTCCGTAAACCTTTGGTCTCAAACTGATGGATTGTGACCTTCCGCTGGTTTCTTCCCTGATCTATGGTGGATTATACCAGAGTTTGTAGTTGTTAAAGACATTTGAATGAAATTCTAAGGATAAAAATAGAAGATTGTAGAGGAAAGAGGGAGAAGATAGAAAGATGAAAGGGTCTCATATTGCAATCTGGCGTTAAAGGTGGGGGTCTTGAGTCAGAAAAGTTTGAAAGACTACTTGCATGCAAGATAGAGAACTACCATCAGTTATGCCAACTTCCCCAAATAATGAACAAGGTCATTATTTGGAAAGTATCAACATCTGACCATTAAAGAATAATGCAGACAGCTCCACACTGCAATATGAGTAATAAATGTAAAAATCCGTGCAAATTCCAAGCAGCAGTCAGGACCACATGGAATGTGTTGTCATATTCAACTTATCTTGTCTCCCTTTGTTTCTCCCTGCTTCTTAATGGTCAGCCTCACGCTATGCAATTCTTCAAAATGTACCATTTCCCCCTGAACTCTTCTGCAAAATTAGTTCCAAATGGTGCTTTACCTTTTATGAGCCAAGTGTCAAGCAAATACCCCAGGATAGCAATTTAGATAATCTAAAGAAAGAATTTCCTTTTTAAAAATTTAATATTGCCTTTGCTGTCATTTTTCAGACTGACAGATGTTCAGAGATGTTGATGCTGTCACCCAAAATGTTCACAAGGGATTTCATTCATGAATTCCTGAAGTTAAGTTTGACACTCCTCTGAAAATGTTTCATTTTTGCCTCTGCGATAAAGATTCTATTTTTTTTTTCTGTAACTCTTCCAATCAGAAACCACAAAGAAGCTGCTGAGATTTTGGGAATTCAAAGCTGGATAAAGGGGTTTTTTTAAAATACATATATATATATAAATGGCTCCATGATTTGAAAAACATGTTGGAATGTTAACAGACAGAGCCAAATTTCCAAACTGGCCTTAACTCGGTGTCTGAAATTCTGAAGGTCAGCTTCTCTGTGCGCACTCATCATGCCTACAGAGCTGTGATTGTTTGTAGCATGAACACATATGCTACAACAAGCCATTGTCTTTCTCCCTCTCCTGTTGTCTGGCTAGTTTGGTTCTGTTCTGATCCTGTTGTAGATTTGTACAGCTCATCTGCTTGGGACTGTTGTGCTGGGAGAGGCACCAACATACTTTCCTGTTTTCTCCAGCGGTGCAAGCAGCACTTTCAGAGGTGAGATGATTTTCATCAGAAAAACAGGAAGGGGGGGGAGCATTAACTTACATACCTATATAGAGAGAAATGAAGGTTGATCATGAATTCTCTGATATCCACATCTGATTTGGCCCATAGACTCATCTATTTCCCCCAGACTTGTAAAAGATTAGCATGTATCAGTCAGATTAGAACGGGCTACAAGGCAGATACACACAATGCTAGAGGTTCCTTTTGGGCGTCTGCCATACCAAATCCAGAGGGTGGGTGATTGCCTCATTCAACCTAATGGTAGGACTGGCCCTGAATGTATCGCAAGTATAAATGCAAAACTAAGCAAGTGAACCTCGTCAAGGTAACATTTTGAAGTGCTCTATCTAGCCTAAGTTCTTCCCAATATCTGGTTTTTTAATTAAAATTCAAAATTACACTAGCCCATCAGAGCTAATGTAACTAGGTGCATCTGTTCCTAAGATCTACTAATCAGTTGTTTAATGGCAT